CAAGCACTGTAGAAAAATCCGATTCATGAGGGCTGTGCAAGAGTTGTTCGCTTTCCGCTTCATGCATATGATGGTACCGAATAGGACATTTTCGAATACTTGATGTCAAACCGAGGTCAAACGTGCAATAAGTCTGACTCGAATAGTCGCAACAGTAAATCCATCGACCTAAGTCACGTGATCTGATCAATAGGCATGAATCAACGTGAGACAAGCGTAGTAAAAAGAAAGAGATCCATCAAAATAGCGATTCTGTTGTCCACAAGTGCAGTGACGATAATCGTATTTTTTGTACAGTTTTGTCGACCACAGTATTCCTAACGTGTTGGTTACGTAACGTTCACATTCAGCACACAGCGAAATTTGTCCGGTTGATTACGGGAGTCCTGGTTGTCTGTTGTTCGCAAGCGACGTGTTTTCAATGCATTATATCCTTCCCACTTTCGACTCTTACTGCATGGACCGCTCATGAGCTATCCGTCTCACAATGAAATCAAAACATGTTGTATTACATTCAAATGCGGTGATTGCCAAGAGAACTTCGACAAAATTTTCATACCGAGGATATGTTTCGATCGTCTGGCACTCTGATTATTTGAGTTCTAAACTGGTAAATTTGTAATTTACTCGTTTTATGGATGTCATGTATATCGTGCACCATCTGTCGAGGAATTACGCTTAACAATGTAGCTGATTCATTACTGTTGTTAGTAGTAGTGTCAGCTGAAGTGGTCTATTGTATCTGACACGTGATGGAAGGCAATACAAAGAGAGTCCTGGTTAGCGGCCGAATCAAGAATGGGGCTCATCCGACCAGACGCTCAGACGCAGCGGCAGGAAGTGCCTCGCGAGACAATGTTGACTGCCACCCGAAACGAGCAAATCGACAATTGCAGCCCGACAGACAATCCGCAGCTAACGGGAAAGATGTCCACCGCATGCCACAACGTCGGAACTGTTGATCAACGCATCTCGCGCCGCGATCGGGTCAAATCAGTTGGAATAGCACGCAGAAGAGCGTTGCCTGTTGCAACGTACGTGCCAAGTGTGGACCAAAACCAACAAGGAATGACCCACCGAAAGCGGTGTGAATCATCTCGCCGCGCGGTTGAGAATTGATTGTATATAATCGAACGCATACACCGTTCGCTTTTAAATTGGATCAATAGACGTTTTTCCCAGCCAGCTCGCCCTCTCNCTCGCTACTATGTGATCAGAAAAGCGGTAACGGCATCGACGCCCTCATCAGCGTCATCTTTGCTTTCTCCAACTGGGCTAGCTGATGTTGAACAATCAGTCGTAATTCGTCGACAGAAATGGATGTGGTCTGATTTCCAGATTCACGGAGTCGTCGATATCCGGGCACCCGTATCTCAAGGCGCCACGAAACATTGTGCACAAGGCGTGAGGGAATCCATCTATTTTGTTAAAGTCAACGGTTTTTATGAATTCGGTGCAAATTTACGAACAGATATGAAACTTCCCACAAACTTGCATTCTTTGCCAATAATTCCTTATTAACTTCTGTATGTTTATTGAGTTCAGACTGTGCGCCAGATAAATTGCGGTACAATAATCTGCATAAAAGGAAAAACGTTCCAAGATTTGCATATGAGACGAATACTGCCAAGTTACCAAGTTGCAAGTGAATTTTCTTGAGCAAGGTAGCGGGGCGGTGTGCGAAAACCACAATTTATTGGGAGCTGCCCCGAAATATCTCGCTTCCCAGCTTATGCAGCAGTCTATTCGACGAATTTTTTTTGCAAGTGTAGATCAGTATGGGATGAATATTGGTCCGAATTTCGTAGTTTTTCTTTGTTGTGCTGGTCAGCTTCGTCATAACCCTGGAACACCTTCAAAGTTCACCGGTGATGTGCTTTACACAATTGTACTATCCCTTTTTTTCCCCTCCCCGCGTTCTTTCTCTCACAGTGGAGAATTCGTTGGCCTAATCAATCAACGTCTTCGCGCCCGAGCCAGTGAAGAGGAGAGTTTCAAGACCGCACGTGCCAGTCTGGTGAACAATGTGGAACAATGTCGACAGCAAAAGTCAGTTCTGTACCGTTTATTTTTTTTTACAATCACTTCGGTTCAGTTTTTGCTAACTCATAACCCGCCTTTTGAGTACAGAGATTTCGGTCGCCGCAACGGTAGTTTGTAAGTGTAGGTGACGGTGGTGGTCAGCTGGCTAAGGCCACATGAATAGCACCCTGGAGGTTCTGAGTTTGAATCCCGCATCTAATGCAATTCCCCAGGCAGCCTTTGATTGATCACCGCCTATTTGGTGAAAACGGGCTGTACATACGTAGGCTCATGTTACCGACGGGCACTCCATCACCATCAATTATCTTAATTAATCACCTACTACTCATAACTAGTATATAGTTATCACCCAAAATGCACACATTTAAAAAAACGTATAATCAACCAAAAAATGCTCTAGCATTATATGTTGCACTTCATCTAAATGTTCCCATATAACGTCACCAACTGATCCTGTAACATTTAAAACGAGTCCAAAAAGATTCCGCATTATTTGTATGGACACCGGTTGCGGGATTTACAAAACCGTCTGTGTGATTGACACACATGTGCACATGTCTCGATAAACACTGAGCGATCTGTGTAAACTGCTGTTCCAGGCTACACCCATCGTTAAATTATAGGGAGTAGTAGATCTCGGCTGATCTTTTTTCCACTATCTCGAAGTATCCTTTCTTTAAGTTGCGGTCTCAAGGTCACAAATCAAAACAAGAGGTAGAAAACACTTTTTCAATAAATAAAAAACAATTAAATTTTATCTAATAAATATTTGAAAAATGTTACGATTTTTTAAGAGTGGCCGTTTTTAGAATGAACTTGAATAAAGAAACCAGAATGGGGTGCATGTCGGTAACGTGCCCCCATTTCTATCCTCAATCAATAAATACAAAGTAAGTAAAACCAAAAAGCCAAGAACATAAATACTCACGACACTGTGCCATACCAACACGGTATTAGATAAACCTCTCAGATCCAAACCGTTCTTTGTTTTTAAGTTTTCTTGAAAATCGCAGAGGAATTCATTTGATAAACTTTGCATCGATCTCATCCTTGGTATCATTTCCTTCGATTGCATGCGGTACATGCATACACATATTCCTTTCGTGGGCCCACAATTTCCGTTTTATTCCGACTCATTCGACTGCACTCAAGAGAAACCCATTCTCTTGAGTTTCAGAAGCAAAAAATTGACAAGATTAGAGTATTGCCCAAACCAATTCCAGGACGTTTTACCACGCTTCTGTAATATCTAGAGAGTTTTGTATCTACGAAGTGAAAGTCATCTCCTGGTTCTGATTCGGACGTAAAACTGATGGCACTGAAGGCATTTAAAAGTGGAT